CTACCCGTTAGCTTGTGCTGGCAGAGTTCGACAGGACTGCCGGTCAAATCCAGCCTTTGGCTGAAAGCTGCTTGCTGAATTCGACAGCGTTCTGCAGAAGCGCTTGGTGATTGTGTGTGTTCCCGGGTTGCCTCGTTTGTGGTTTAAAAAGAAGTCGATTTGCAGAACCGGAGGACTTTTTTCGGACGTGTTCACGCGACTGGCCGGGCCCGTGCTGCCGCGTCTTTAATTCTTCTCTCTCTCCATCTGCCACAGAAAGTTTATCGGACAATGCCACTGCATTTAGCAACCGATCCAAGCAGCTTCGGAGACAGATGTGGTGGCGAGGCTGCAAGGTGAGTCCACGGCGGGGGGGAAGGAGCCGGTTTCTTTAGGCGGGCGCTTAGAAACTGGGTCCTACTGAGCCAGCGTAGAATGTGGTCCGGGCAGGTGGCGGGAATCTGAGGTTTGCATCTCATTTGCATGAAAATGGGGCCGCCTCTTACGTTGAATCCAGCATGCACTGCTCTGTCGACTTCCGGCAGCCTTTGCGTGGCGGAGGTGGGCGTATCGTGTGCGGGGGAAGGCAATCCTGGCAGCCTCGGTATTGAGCGCCCGCCGTCCCTGCGTCTAACGGGAAGGGGAGCCAGCCCGACACGTAACCTCGGCCTCTCTTGGCATTCCTCTTGCAGATGAAGGCCCTTGTAGCATTGGTTGCCATCACCCTCCTGCTTGTGATCATCAGTGAGTATTGACAGCCCTTCCCTGCCGGGTTGGGAGCTCGGGGGGGATACACAGAAATATTTTTTTTGCTGTAAATAACGTTGAGAATCCCTCGCCGGGTCGTGCTCTGTAGGGCTGTCCGGTCCCACGCAGCCAGTATTGCACACGGGCTCCCTGGGTCTGTGCTGCCACGGCGGGTTTCTCCCCACGTGTGTGGGAAACAGCCTCTCGCTTAAAGACTTTCTAACACCGCTACCGAGGAAGGGCAACGGCGGCGGCAGGCAGAGTTGCGCTTTCTCCGGAGGCTCGGCTCGTGGTTCGCGTGCATGGTCTGATGAAGGCAGACGGGCTGACGTCCCCAGCAGGACTGAGGCATCTTCCCCGTTGTGCAGGGCTGTTTGTCCGTGCTCAGGCAGAGATCCTGTTCCCAGCAGTTCGGAACGTGGTTCGCCCTGCAGAAATCCACCGTTTTGACGTTGAGACAGGAGCAGGGTGTCAGCTGGGGCTAGTTACCAGGAGAAGAGGTCTCCACCACGGGCGTTCCCCTCGAAAACTGAATAGTCTCCGCCGGCAGCCCTGTTGCAGGATCCGGTGGATTTTAAAAATCGGGTTTAGCACCAAGGTTCATCTCCCTGCGCTACCGGCTTATTGTTCCCCGCCGGAGCGGTTTCAGGCTTCGCACGCCCGGTGTCCTTGGGATGCTTTGGAGGCCTGGGCGATTTTTGTCTGAGGATCCTACTCTGCCTTGGGATCCCAATCTGGAACTCGGATACGGGACCCCCGTTTGCACCGCAGCCGCCTGCTCCTTGCTGCCCTTCTCTGGGAAAGCGGCCTTCCTAGGAGCGATCGCGTCAGCCCGTCGGGTTGGGGAAATAGGAGCCTTGATGCAGATCCTCCCATTGACGGTGTTTTTCAAGGACCAGGTCCCGCACAGTCCTTCCCCGCGGTGCTGTCGGATTTCCCTCTGCGCCGGTCGGTTCCTCCCCCCTACACGTAGTAGGTGTCGGACGAGTCCTGATCTCTTACATCCAAGCACCTTTGGCAATCCCCTGCACATGTCTTCCTTGCGGAAGGATCGAAGGCGACCCGCATCCCATCCAGAGACTTTGGAGTCGCGCTCTGGGCGTGTTTCCACTTGCGATGGTGCCGCGGGGGCCTTGCTGCCCCCAGGAAAATAGAAACGTTCCTGTGTCTGAGCTGGGCCGAGCTCAGTGCCTGCCTCTTCCAAACACGCGGCCTTAGGCTGGGCCGTCCGATGGGACGCCTGGTTCTCTTGCGCTGCGTCAGGCTGGGATGGGATTCCCCGCTCCCGGTACGGATACTGCTCAGGATTTGCCTACTGGAGCACCCGTAGGGACCCCTTGTTATCCTCAGTGGTTACTCCCCTTGTGCAATCGCGGTGGTTCTTTGGGATTCTTCTGTTTCCAAACACGCGGCCTTAGGCTGGGCCGTCCGATGGGACGCCTGGTTCTCTTGCGCTGCGTCAGGCTGGGATGGGATTCCCCGCTCCCGGTACGGATACTGCTCAGGATTTGCCTACTGGAGCACCCGTAGGGACCCCTTGTTATCCTCAGTGGTTACTCCCCTTGTGCAATCGCGGTGGTTCTTTGGGATTCTTCTGTGTGACTCCGTTCCTGCTGCCTTCCCCCTCGATTTGTCCGGGGGGGGGGGGGGGGGGGGCGGGCGGGGG